TATCTCGCGTCTGCTTGACAGTAGGGGTTGCAAGATTTTGTACGAGGCGCAAGTATGTTCACACCTTGAGTATGCTCCACTTTCTTGGTTTGCCTGTTCCCCCTCTCATCTGTGACTGTTTGACAGAGTAGAGAACAGAGCAAGACATCTTATCTCTCGCCTGGACCAATCCTGGATAAACCTGTCATTTTAGCAGAGCCTTCAACACAGGAGGGATGTAGGTGGCCTTACTGTTATGTACAAGGCCAATATTGTCAAAGTACCATACTCGGATCCACTTCGAGGACAGCATGAAGCAAGCTTCTATACCACAAGACAGGCAGAAAGCAGCAACTTCACTCCAGAGCATTACTTCATTTGAGATTATTTATCCCCAGGATGGCTCGAGTATGGAAAACACTCGTACAGCATTATGATGTCAACGAGATAAAGTCAGTTGATCAAATGAAAATGCTGGCCCACTGATGGCTCCAACTTCATCCTGTTCCTTGTATGCCTCATAACAATAAAAATGCTTTCAAATGAGCTGATGTAGGTAACAGCTCTTAGCTTGTCAATAAAGTTAGGAATCCTTAACCTGTAAATAGCTTGTCAATAAAGTTAGGGATCCTTAACCTAACCTTGTCAAACCCTGTGTAAAAGAGAGAGAGAGAGAGAGAGAGAGAAACTGCCCTCATTGCCTGTGTTGTAAGTCGCAGCTAAGATAATCCATCACAAGGAAGCATTTCATGAGTTCAAATCATTAGATACCCCTCGAGCTACTGCAGAAGGCCAGTGCAAGCCTACATCAAGTGACATAAGCTGCTCAGCTGATGGTGACACTATTGACAAAGACTGTAAAGTCCTACACTGAGCTCAACTCAGAGGGAAATAACTGATGGAATTCTGTCATCGCTAAGGCTCCACAATTAGAGAAACACTACATTTGGGAATTCTAACACAATTCCTCTGACCATCACAGAGGGAACAGATCCTCTTCCCAGCAACAAAGTAAGCCTTGGATCTGTTAATTCTCCTACACCTAACATCACTGCTTCAGCACCTGCCAGTCCACTAGACAGTGCACATACCATCTCTGATCCTACACCTGTCAGCATACCTGCCAACACTATTCCAACATATGGCAGCAGTGCTTCATCAGCAAGTGCTGAGTCAGTCGTTTCTCCACCAGAGATTGGTGCAGTTATTAAGCAGGGAACTATCACTGCACCTGAACAGCTGCTGCACCAAAGTACGAACAGCAAGGACACATTTGTCAGAGCTGTACAGGGGCGTGGTAGAGGACATGATAGAGGATGTGGTAGAGGATGTGGAAGAGGACGTGGAGGAAGAAGACATCTACAGCCGTCTCACCTTCCACCAACACAGTCCCAGGAAAACGTTCATCAGATACACAATCATCAGGTTCACCAGTGGCAGAACCTGCAGACAAATCAGCAGCAAAACACAGGAGGTGCAACAAATAGGAATCCACCCTCCCAGGCACCTAGGCAGTGCTCTCGTTGTCACCAGAGGGGCACACCACTAACAACTGCCTGTGAGATACTAGGTGTAATTAGTGCCACAAGAAAGGACATCAGGAGGACCAGTGTCAGAAGAAATATGAACTTGACAGACAGGACCACCTGTTTATAGACCTGTTCTCGGAACAAACCAGCAGGATCTCTGAAATGGCGAACACACTCACACATCACCTACTCAGCTACTCCTGTCTCAGCCCAGCAGGTGGTACTGTGCCTTATACAAGACAACAGACCTACATCCCAACAGGAAAAGTCGGTCGATGGATCTATAATTTCCTCACTAACAGAACACAGAGAGTAGTCGTCAACAGAGTAAAGTCCGAGGCAGCTACGGTGAAAAGCTCTGTTCCACAAGGCACAGTACTAGCTCCCATCTTGTTCCTCATCCTCATATCCGACATAGACAAGGATGTCAGCCACAGCACCGTGTCTTCCTTTGCAGATGACACCCGAATCTGCATGACAGTGTCTTCCATTGCAGACACTGCAAGGCTCCAGGCGGACATCAACCAAATCTTTCAGTGGGCTGCAGAAAACAATATAAGTTCAACGATGAGAAATTTCAATTACTCAGATATGGTAAACATGAGGAAATTAAATCTTCATCAGAGTACAAAACAAATTCTGGCCACAAAATAGAGTGAAACACCAAAAGTCAAGACCTGGGAGTGATTTATGTCGGAGGATCTCACCTTCAAGGACCATAACATTGTATCAATCGCCATCTGCTAGAAAATGACAGGATGGATAATGAGAACCTTCAAAACTAGGGAGGCCAAGCCCATGATGAAAACTCTTCAGGTCACATTGTTCTATCTAGGCTGGAAATATTGCCCCGCACTCTAACAGCACCTTTCAAGGCAGGGGAAATTGGGCCCACCTAGAAAATGTACAGAGAACTTTCACGGCGCGCATAACGGAGATAAAACACCCAATTACTGGGAGCGCTTTAGTTTCTAAACCTTTTATTCCTGGAACGCAGGAGGGAGAGATACATGATTATATACACCTGGAAAATCCTAGAGGGAATAGTACCGAACTTGCACACGAAAATCACTCATAAACGAAAGCAAAGACTTGGCAGAAAGATGCACCATCCCCCCAATGAAAAGCAGGGGTGTCACTAGCACGTTAAGAGACCATACAATAAGTGTCAGGGGCCCGAGACTGTTCAACTGCCTCCCAGCACACATAAGGGGGATTACCAACAGACCCCTGGCAGTCTTCAAGCTGGCACTGGACAAGCACCTAAAGTCAGTTCCTGATCAGCCGGGCTGTGGCTCGTACGTTGGTTTGCGTGCAGCCAGCAGCAACAGCCTGGTTGATCAGGCGCTGATCCACCAGGAGGCCTGGTCACAGACCGGGCCGCGGGGGCGTTGACCCCCGAAACTCTCTCCAGGTAAACTCCAGGGTGCCTGCCCTACCTCTCTCAAGGGCAGGCACCTTACACGCCTCACACACCCACCACCTCAAGCTGAACACATCATGAGGAACCAGTCTATCAGCATCCCGTCAGCCAACATTAGAGATTTTGTTACCAATGTTGGAGAGCTCTCACAAAGTTTTGTGAACACTCGACAACCCAACATGACAGCTGTTGTGATGAATGGTTTGAAAAACCGACAAGTTGTAGAATTGAGACACTTTTGCAACATATGGGAATCTTTATTCAGGAAACGTTTCACCACACAGTGGCTTCATCAGTCCAATACAAAGTAGAAAGCCGTAAGGAGAGGAGGAGTTTGAGGTAATCAGTCCCTCAGCCTGGAGTCGATGTGTTCAGTCCATCAATCTTGTAGAATGTACAGCATAAGGCCGTAGACGTGGCTTATATACTGTAGTGAGGTGAGGCGAAGCAGGAGGGACTGATTACCTCAAACTCCTCCTCTCCTTACGGCTTTCTACTTTGTATTGGACTGATGAAGCCACTGTGTGGCGAAACGTTTCCCATATGTTGCAAAAGTGTCTCAATTCTATGACAGCTGTTGTTGAAACATTTTTGGACGACAGGACTCCAGAAAATTTTGCAAGAATTGCTGGCTACACCTCATGGATGAGAAGAGACAAGCAAGGGCAAAGAGGAGGTGTTGCTGTGTGCTTCACATCTACAACATGTGCATCACATCTACATGTGCATCACATGTACATGTGCTTCACATCTACAACATGTGCTTCTCATCTACATGCACATCACATCTGCAATATGTACATCACATCTATTGTCATGTGGGGGTTCAATAACGTGGATTGGGTAATAACACTCACGTTGGATGTTCTAATATACTGAGTGGAATATAGGGGGAGCACCAAGCCTCGACCGGCAGCCTGTCTAACACCTCCACTTGAACTGGCTTGCCGAGTGCCTCGGAGGGTAGCGGCATTCAAAACATGCTAGGTCAGCTGAACAGTGAATAACAAGTGATTCACGCAGACGGTTGGTAGTGAGTCATACTACTGGTAACTGGTTACTGGCAACTGGTTATTAGGAACTTATACTACTGAGACTATAACATGTACATCACATCTACAACACGTGCTTCACATCTACAACATGTACATCACATCTACAACATGTGCATCACATTTACATGTGCATCACATCTACATGTGCATCACATCTACATGTGCATCACATCAACAACATGTGCATCACATCAACAACATGTGCATCACATCAACAACATGTGCATCACATCTACAACATGTGCATCACATCAACATGTGCATCACATCAACAACATGTGCATCACATCAACAACATGTGCATCACATCAACAACATGTGCATCACATCAACAACATGTGCATCACATCAACAACATGTGCATCACATCTACAACATGTGCATCACATCAACAACATGTGCATCACATCAACAACATGTGCATCACATCAACAACATGTGCATCACATCAACAACATGTGCATCACATCTACAACATGTGCATCACATCAACAACATGTGCATCACATCTACAACATGTGCATCACATCTACAACATGTGCATCACATCAACAACATGTGCATCACATCTACAACATGTGCATCACATCTACATGTGCATCACATCAACAACATGTGCATCACATCTACAACATGTGCATCACATCTACAACATGTACATCACATCAACAACATGTGCATCACATCTACAACATGTGCATCACATCTACATGTGCATCACATCTACAGCATGTGTATCACATCTACATGTGCATCACATTACAACATGTGCATCACATCTACAACATGTGCATCACATCGACAGGTGCATCACATCTACAATCTATTACGTAACCAGTGTTTTCCTATATCCTATCCCTTCCTATATCATTATGATCTTCATCACTTGAAGATCATAAGATGTCTGGGCTAGGTCTACACTCAGCTCCCATTAGTGAAAATTTGTTCTAGGCAGCAAGGTAAACCAACCAGAACTATGTACAGTATGTTATAATCCAAATTGACATTATTTACCTTTCACTCTGTTGGAGCCATATATGTTAAGCAGGAACAAGTGTAGTGGGTTGATGTTCAGTAGCCAGATAGTAAAGGCCAGTAGTCCTCTCAGTAGGTTTAATCCCACTCTCAACTGAAAAATATAATATGAAAGTCATTAGTGAATAAAGCAGTGACAGCGGCAGTGGTGACAACATCAATGGCTGCTCCCATATCTTTGCCGTCCCCTTGCCCAATTTAAGCTCCAATTATGGCCTAAATGCTTATACTGCTGCACTGGCCTACATAGAACCAGTAATGACCAAAAAAACCTATGTCGACAAGATGACCATTTATGACTAAAAGCGGAGTGCCCGGGACACCAAACACCACCCTGCTACCAGACGTAACACCAGCCAAGCAACAGTTACCACTATAGTAGCTCTATATCAACTGTACTAGTGTTCTCATGGGATGGAAAAACAGAAGAAACAACTCCAAGACGTACACCAAAACTCCTATTAAACTGTTACCCATTATGTCTACCCTAAAGGACCAAGCGCATCTTCCACCCCCCACCCAGACCAACACAACAAAAACAACAATGGAAGATGACTCCAAATCTTTCGCTCGATTCGATCAACATTCATCCTCACCCATGTCTCACACCCAAGCTGGCTTTTCTTCCACCACTATGGCAAACACTCAAGACCTCTTCACCCCAGACAGCATCATCGACTACAACTCATCAACACCCAGGTATGCAATCCTCTACAATGACTTGACACCACTGATAAAATTCTCCAGGAAAATAGTATGCTAAGGCAGTAAAACGAAACCTACAAAAAACTGATTGTGGACCTAGAGCACTCTCTAACAATACAAAACTCAAGGGTTAGTAAACCAGAAGACAAACTGACAATCTTAATAAACATGACCAAGCAACATGCAAACCTGCAAACAACTGTAGGCACACATACTGAGCAAATAGATTCTCTCACCACCAAGCTGTCAGAAGCTACACAAGATTGGAGGTTAAACATGAAGCCCCAATGGAGTGCATCCCTCCATTATCAAAGGGACATGATTGAACAAGACAAGCTCCTAGGCTTTTGTTATTGTAACCAGTTCCAAGTACTATCAGATACAAACCATGACAACTGCACCAACAAAGGACTTCTCATTGACTGTAATCTTCAATTTCATTCCTACATCCAGCATATATCCAAGAAAATTTCTAAATCAGAAAGGCATCCTTTCCACATGATATTATGTACGCCAAACGACACTCCTTACCCTATACCACTCTTTAACCCTTTCGGGGTTTTTGACATACTAGTACGGCTTATGCACCAGGGTTTTTGATGTACTAGTATGCCTAAATTCTAGCGCCCTCAAATCTAGTGAGAGAAAGCCGGTAGGCCTACATATGAAAGAATGGGTCTATGTGGTCAGTGTGCGCAGTATAAAAAAAAATCCTGCAGCACACAGTGTGTAATGAGAAAAAAAAAAACTTTGACAGTGTTTTTGGTTTAAAAGAGCGACTTTGCACTGTATTTTTGTATGGTATTTATGATGGTATTCAAGTAAGAGAGAGGTGAAGGTTTATAAACCCAAAGAGGAGGCAGTTAGGGTAAGATATAAACAACTATTGGAGGATATATGGCCTAGTGAGAGTATAGGCAATGGGGTACGAGATGTATGGGGGAGGTTTAAAAATGTAGTGTTAGAGTGTTTAGCAGAAGTTTGTGGTTACAGGAAAGTGGGTGTGGGAAGAAAGAAGAGTGATTGGTGGAATGATGATGTAAAGAGAGTAGTAAGGGAGAAAAAGTTAGCATATAAGAGGTTTTTATAAAGTGGAAGTGATGTAAGGAGGGAGGAGTATATGGGGAGAAAAAGAGAGGTTAAGAGAGTGGTGAAGCAATGTAAAAAGAGAGCAAGCAAATGAGAGTGGGTGAGATGTTATCAACAAATTTTGTTGAAAATAAGAAAAAGTTTTGAAGTGAGATTAACAAGTTGAGGAAGCCTAGGGAACAAATGGATTTGTCAGTTAAAAATAGGAGAGGAGAGTTATTAAATGAGAGTTAGAGGTATCGGGAAGATGGAGGGAATATTTTGAGGAAATGTTATATGTTGATGAAGATAGGGAAGCTGTGATTTCATGTATAGGAAGAGGAGGAATAACATCTTGTAGGAGTGAGGAAGAGCCAGTTGTGAGTGTGGGGGAAGTTCGTGAAGCAGTGGGTAGAATGAAAGGGGGTAAGGCAGCTGGGATAAAGGTAGAAATGTTAAAAGCAGGTGGGGATATAGTTTCGGAGTGGCTAGTGCTATTATTTAATAAATGTATGGAAGCGGGTAAGGTACCTAGGGATTGGCAGAGTGTGTGCATGGTTCTTTTGTATAAAGGCAAAGGGGACAAAAGAGAGTGCAAAAATTATAGGGGAATAAGTCTGTTGACTGGGAGCAAGGGGCTAGTAACCCCTTCTCCTGTATATATTTCTAAATGTAAAAGGAGGAACTTTCGTTTTTCCTTTTGGGCCACCCTGCCTCGGTGGGATACGGCCGGTGTGTTGAAAGAAAGAAAAGAAGTCTGTTGAGTATACCTGGTAAAGTGTATGGTAAAGTTATTATTGAAAGAATTAAGAATAAGATGGAGAGTAGGATAGCAGATGAACAAGGAGGCTTTAGGAAAAGTAGGCGGTGTGTAGACCAAGTGTTTACAGTGAAACATATAGGTGAACAGTATTTAGATAAGGCTAAAGAGGTTTTTGTGGCATTTGTGGATTTGAAAAAGGCGTACGACAGGGTGGATAGGGGGGAATGTGGCAGATGTTGCAGGTGTATGGTACAGGAGGTAAGTTACTGAAAGCAGTGAAGAGTTTTTACGAGGATAGTGAGGCTCAGGTTAGAGTATGTAGGATACAGGGAGATTATTTCCCAGTAAAAGTAGGCCTTAGACAAGGATGTGTGATGTCACCGTGGTTGTTCAATATATTTATAGATGGGGTTGTAAAAGAAGTAAATGCGAGGGTCTTGGCAAGAGGTGTGGAGTTAAAAGATAAAGAATCAAACACAAAGTGGGAGTTGTCACAGTTGCTTTTTGCTGATGACACTGTGCTCTTGGGAGATTCTGAAGAGAAGTTGCAGAGGTTGGTGGATGAATTTGGTAGGGTATGTAAAAGAAGAAAATTAACAGTGAATATAGGAAAGAGTAAGGTTATGAGGATAACAAAAAGATTAGGTGATGAAAGATTGCATATCAGACTGTAGGGAGAGAGTATGGAGGAGGGGAATGTATTATATATTTGGGAGTGAACGTGTCAGCAGATGGGTCTATGAAAGATAAAGTGAAACATAGAACTGATGAGGGGAAAATGGTGAGCGGTGCACTTAGAAGTCTGTGGAGATAAAGAACTTTGTCCTTAGAAGCAAAGAGGGGAATGTTGCAAGTATAGTTTTACCAATGCTCTTATATGGGTGTGAAGCATGGGTGATGAATGTTGCAGTGAGGGGAAGGCTGGAGGCAGTGGAGATATCATGTCTGAGGGCAATGTGTGGTGTGAATATAATGCAGAGAATTCGTAGTTTGGAAGTTAGGAGGAGGTGTGGGACTGCCAAAACTGCTGTCCAGAGGGCTGAGGAAGGGTTGTTGAGGTGGTTCGGACATGTAGAGAGAATGGAATGAAACAGAATGACTTCGAGAGTGTATAAATCTGTAGTGGAGGGGAGGCCGGGAAGGGGTCGGCCTACTAAAGGTTGGAGGGAGGGAGTAAAGGAGGTTTTGGACTTCTAGCAAGCATACATGAGAGTATTTGATAGGAGTGAATGGATACAAATGGTTTTTAATACTTCACGTGGACAAATTCGACAAATAGACAAATTGACAAGGAGAAGCAGCCCAGCCACCGTGGAGAGAAGACGTCGTCGTTCCTGCTCTTCAGCTGAGCAACTCTGAACACTGTTGCTCGAGAATTTACTTGGGTTATCCTGAGTAGTTCTTCACCAGAGCTGAGAGGAGACTTGCTTGCAGTCACTTCGAGCCCCATCCCATCAAGAGGGTAAGGCGGTGACTTGCTTGCTTGTCCACCCCTCTCATCCCCATCCCCCCATCCTCCCCTCACCCAAACATCAACACTGGCCCACACACTTAACACACTACATACATTGCTATCCTTCTGGCTTTCCTATCTTCTTCTTTTTCGGCAACTTCGCTTTGGCGAGTTAACACAAGGCATTTTGACCATCCGGTAGCCCGTGTGGTTTTTTAAAATCCGGCCGATCTTTGCCTTGGGCCCTTTCCCCTCACTACTCGAGGGTAGGCTATCTTAGGGGCTGACCTTCATAAGTCAGCTGAAATAGGATGCTAGTATAACATCAAGGAAAGTTCCCTTTTTGTTAAGAAACTCCTCTGCCAGATGTTCCTTCCCAGACATCATGGCGAGGATACGAGTACGATTACGCATTGACGGCAATCAAATGTCAATGAAAGAAATTCTCACATGTATTTGCTCCAACTCAACTGTTGCTCCAGTGGATGTTTTTCAAACCCACGCTGGAGCAGTACTTCTCCTCTCTTCGGAAGAAGAGTTACTTCAACTTCTGAAGCATGATGTGCTTGAAAAACTGAAGACTTCTGGTGTTACCCCAGTTGCACCTGAGAGCTATCAAGCTCAGAGGACTGTGTTTGTCGCTAGAATCAACAGTTTCATGAAACATAGCACAGTGAATGAAATTGTTGACGACATTAATACCGAGAATTCTGAATTTAGGGCTGTAGAAGCACATAAATTCTCTAATCCTAACAACAACAAGGTAACCTTAAATCTAACACTTGAGACACCTGAGGAGGCCAAACTTGTGTGTCAACATGGATTCAAATGTTTTGGCACCAGATGTACACCTGACCAAATCTCTCTTGAACGATTTGTCAGTGTGACACAATGTTTTAAGTGTTATGCCTTTGGTCATAACAACAACAAATGCAGTACTCAAGGGCAGATTTGTAGCATTTGCTCTGGCCAACATTCGTATAGAGATTGTACCAACAAAAATACACCTAAATGTGTCCTCTGCAATGGAAACATCATGCTGTTTCTGCTATTTGTCCTGAAAGGAAAAAGGAAATGCAGAAAATTCTTGAAGCCAAGAAACTGT